TGATGCTGAGCTTGGCATTAAGGTAGGCATCCTCGTCTGTTTGGCCCGGTGTCACGAGATCATAATCAACGTAACTGCTCTTCATTCCGTTCAGAACATCAAGGAAGAAAACACCCGAGCCGATGCTTGGATCCTTGAATGATCGAATGGCAGAACTTCGGCCACCCTTTTTGGACATGTCGTTGGCCCACCTCACCATTTCTGCATCTGTGATCTCTCTCTTGCCAAGTTTCTGTGCGAGAGAGGATAGCGTAACAGTGATATCCCTGCGCATGAGCTGCCACACTAGGCCCAGGGTAAGTGTCCTTTGTCCGTCGGTAATGTCTGCTCCCTGGATGCCGACGAGCGAGAATCCGTTCTGCTTGCCCAGCTCAATAACATAGTTGGTATTTTCGACGGCCTTGAATCTCATGATCTCACCACCATGGGCAGGGCGCTTGTTTACATGACGCCAGTTAACGGATCCCTGAATGACCTTGTCGTATGCCTGTAAGAGGATTGAACCATCTCTGAGGTCATCAAAGAATGAAACAACGGCTGGCTGAACATCCAAACTGTTGAGCCACAGAGTGAAAACTCTGGCCTCACGCTCACCCTCAGCATCGAAGTCCTCCACTTCCAGTTTCTCCTCCTCGGTAATAGGGTCGAGGGCTGGATGGTTGTTGAAGAGGTTGGCAACAAAAGCGAGGTTCAACTTGGGGTTTCCAGCAACCAGAGATTTTGGGGTAAGGAACTTGCGGCAACCCAACTTGTCGGACTCCTGAAGAACCTCCTCAGCCCGTTGGTGAAGGTCGCGTGTCTGGAGAGGTGCGCGTGTCACACCATAGTCGGATCCAATCTGCGCCAGAAGGACAGCATAGTTCTCGCCGTCCTTGATATCTCCCGAGAAGTTGGCAACCCTATGTGATGTCAGTGGCCGTCAGCGATGAATTCTTGCGGTTTGAACAGTACAAACCTTCGCGGCCAGTTGGCAGCCTTGAGATGATAGTTGAACCAGCGAAGGAGGATTTGCTCGGGAGGCAATCGGAGGAATTGCTCCAGCGTTTCATCTTCTTCCAGCAACCTGTACAGCTCGGGGTGTAGTTTGATGTCAATCTTGCCTAGAAGACCACGGCGAATGATCTGCCAGATTAGTCCCAGAATCAAGTGCTCTCTAACTTCGATAATGTCGCCGGCACCGATATTGACCACTGAGCAGCCAATGCCCTTGGCGGACTCAATCACAATATTGTTATTTTCGGTCATGTGGAAAGCATTAAGAGACTTGAATTTCTTGCCGGGGATATTCAGAACGCGCTCATCAATTGTATCCGGAACGCTGTCATTGATCAGTTTAGCCAATACCAGACCATCCTTACAATCATCGAACATTTCGAAGGTATCGGTAGGGAAGGGTAGGCGAGAGCCTAGATCGGGGTCACCGGCAAGCACGGCATTGATGTGACGGGTGAACTCCGTTCGCTCATCCTCGTTGATGGTGTGAGTGATGTTGGCATTGGAGCCTTGAACCTGAATCTTGCCGCTGATGCTGCCCTTGGAGCTATGCCCGCCCCCGGTGCGCTGCGAGACAACGCCGCCGCTTGGCTGTGCAGCAAGGCGAGAGGCCCCCGAGGTTGCTGGTTTGGACGACGATCCGCGAACCTTTGAAATGAGCTATCTAACCAGTCAGTAAATCCGGATACACCATAGGAAAATATGCGGAGAGGATTCGCGCCTACGCCGACGTAGTCTTCAAGCTCGACACGGCGAGAGGAGTCCAGCTCGACCTCCTTTAGAGCCTGGCGGACGACATCATACGGTTGATTCTCGCTCTGTTGTGTTGATTTGATAGCTGTAGCTTCGTCGATGTAGCCCTTGTCGTCGACATCGAGACGCTGGAAAGCATCGGACAGCGAAAATATTTCGTTTTGCTGGAATTGAGGGAACTTTCTATTCAAGCGCATGCTGTCAGTCTCGGAGCTCACGGCGAGAAATAAAAACAGAGTCAACCAACTTTTGCAGCTTGAGGACATTCATTTTACAGAGCTCAGCCCAGGTAGTCCCGGGTTGAAGGCAAGTGAAGGGTTGAGGGAAGCGCGCAACAAACTGGTTGGTGAATGCGACAGCAACGTCAGGAGGGGTTCGAAGAAGATGGCCGAAAGTCTTCAGATGGCGAGAGGACGCATGGACGAATTACGTAGGAGGGGAAATGCTAACGGCACTACCGGTGCATGCACGCACCTGTATGTATTAGCAGGTAAGGTACCTGTACCCTACCGCCTAATTGAGGTCACCAAAGCCTGTAATTAGGCTGCTGCGAGCCAGAGGCTTAGCGCCCGAGCTCTCGTACATAGGCTCCTGCTCAACCAGGTACCTACCTACCTAGGTACCTAAGGTACCCGACCTGTTACAACAGGCACCTACCTACAGGTAGGTAGGTAGGTACCTAGTTGACCCTTGAGCTGGCCAGCCCCGCCCCCACCAGGCATGGATGGCCCCGCTCACAATGATGAAAGAAGCAAAGAGACATATGTAACCTCCCTGCCACCTACCAGCCACTGGCGCAGCGTCATCACTGACGCGCTTCTGTGGCTATGGCTTCCATCCTCTGGCTAAGCTTTCCCCGTTCTAGGCAGTAAGAGACCCGGGCGAGTAAACAAGCGACCTCTCCAAAATTTGCATAAGTGTTCAGGGAACACCTGTGGCACTAACTGCCTCACACTAGCACTCGGGGCACCGAATGGTAGTCGGGCATCCATCTCTCCACTGGCTGGCCCTGCCACATGCGTACCTGTTCTGTTCTTCTGCCTGTTTGTCTAGGTACCGTCACTTGGTGATACCTACCTAGTATTAGCTCCAGGCGACCCGGTCAGTATCCGCCCAAAGGGAAAAAAATTATACGAAAATGGAACCAAAACCCAACCTTGGCCCCACATCATTATCACAAACTTCAAAGTTCTGAAGTCTGGCCAAGCAGTCAGAGGGGAAACTGAAGATTCTCTTTGAACCAATCTTTCAACAAGTGAGGGGGTCAAGCTCGGAGCATCGTGTGCATCATATCATCATGGCTGCATGCAAGACTTGCAATGAAGCGTTAGTCTTTCGACTGGACGACGATGACGATGATAACGACATGCAAGTTCCCGATGACCTAGAGCTACGTTGTGGTTGCCATTTCCACTGGTAAGGCCACCAACATTCCCCGATCGCTAGGCTGCCATGAACTAATCCAACTAAATTTCTCAGGTCATGTCTTCTCGACCAGGCACAGACAGTGGCTTTGGCACTCAAGTGCCCAAGCTGTGGTACATATCTGCCTGAAAACGAGGCTGGTCCGTCATCCACAAATCCGTTGTTGCCTACCGCTGGGACGGCTATTCTGGCACGGTATACAAACGAGGGCGGCGTAGACCCTTCTCTTGATATCCTACCGTCCATTACTGAGGAAGCATACCTTGCAAGTCACCCAGAAACCCAACCTGCCAGAGCCTTCCATGTCATGTGCGGTGAAGGTGACCCTGAGGCCATTGTTGAGCTGCTATCATCGCTTTCGGACACTGATGATGAAGAGGAGCTCGGCGTTTTATCTGTGCTGCGCTACCAAGACCCTCTCGCTGGAATGAAGAGCGCCCTGCATCTTGCAGTAGAGAGGGGCCAACAAGAAGTTGCTATGCTCCTCCTGTGGCTCTGTTCCACTGCAAACACCGAGTCTTTCCCTGAGGCTTCACGCCAGATTGTCGAGTCTGCCGGGCTGGGGCGGTTATCAGTCGGCTCAGACGGTGATATCCGTGGTTTGAAAGACAGCCGTGGCCTCACGGCGGTCGAGCTCGCTCGGCAAGCTCAGGTGCTCTGGGCTGGGTTTTTCGAATCTGGGCTTTTTTTGTAGCCCGCTCTGGTTATGCACATCTAGCAGCTGTGATGGATGGGTTTATACAAAATAAATCCAGACTTTTAGGCTCGTGTCGCCATCTGTAATTACCTAGCATTCCTGTCAACCGCAGGAGACATCTATAGCTTTGTTATTGCCAAGCTGTAGAGAGCGACATAAGACTAGGAATACTGATGGACGAAGTCGGTTTACCGGCCGGGACTCGTGGGATTTTATGGATTATTTTAGATGATTCGCATGGTGCAGAAATCTGAATCGATTTCTCTCTCGCTCGAGGTATCAGACATGTCCGGCGGCGTCGTGAGACAAAAAATTATGACAGAGCCAGTTGGTAGAATCTGGATACATGTATCTCTTCCCACCCAGTATCCATCGCTAAGGAGATGGAAAGAAACAGATGGCTTGATGATATTTCCGGCGTTGTCTTCCCTCTATGGGGGGAAAAGAGAGAAAGAAAGCCACATGTTAGCGCTCCCTAAAAGACAAACAAGAGCCTCTCACAAATTGGACTGTTAATCTCTGGACCGTCCGCAGACTTGACCTGACCTGACCTACCTAACCTGGAGCACCTGATAGAGACAACTGGCTTATAGAGGTATCCACATGCCCAGGAGGATCGTCTTGAGAAACGGGCAAGTGGGCCTTCTAATATTTAACTCGATCGATGATGTTGCACGCTATTTTTGTACCTCAAACCTTGTAGTCAGGTAAAGCACAGCGTCATCAGCCAAAGCAGAGAATACAATCTACTTCTTCTATGCTGTGTTTTCCAGTCTAATCCTGCCAGGCGAACCGAAAAAAAAAATACAATTGCCCGCCCCAACCAAAACTTGCTGTCATTCCAGGCGTATCAGCCCCCCTCCATTTCGACTCCAAGCTCACTCAGCTTAGCATCGTCGTTCCATTCTTCAGAACTTTGACCCCCCCAAACCGGCCCCTCACCCGCCCCTGTTATCTCTGGCCTGCTGCTGGTTGACCAATATTCCGTGACGCAACCCTCAAACTGGCCTCATTATTTCCCAAAACCAAGCGGCCAGCTCCCGGGAGCTTGACCTACATTGGCCACTGTGCGACCAAGTTAACCAGTAGACGTCCCGTTCGCAGCGGATGGTCTTCTCGCCGTCTTACCAACATGGGACCAGGTCCTGCGGAGAAGAAGGCCGAAAAATCGTATCTATCATCAGCTGTAGAGTCTATCAACCCCTGGGCGGCGAAGCGAACCTCATCCCCCGCCTCGACCCTGAAAAAAGAGGATGCCGTTGAGCCTCCGTCGAACAAGGCTTCTTCCGACCCTGGAGACCATTCAACAACCCATTTATATGGCCTGAGCCTCAGGAATTACCCTGATGATTGCCCCCCGCTCATTGTCCAATGGTTCCATGCGGTTGATGTCCGTTCTTCCGTTCGCCCCGCCATTTGATCAATTCGCTAATGGCTGATCAAGGTCCCGAAACATAAGCCGCAGCTTTTAAAGAACAAAGCAAGCCCACAGGTAGACCCAAAAGCATCGGCACAGCCCAAGAAGTTCTCGACTTTCTCCATCCAGGATTCTAGGGCAATAGAAGCTAGATATCAGCAGTTGCTAGAGGCCATCGAGGACGAGGAAATTGAGCCTCCTCGCCGAGGTCGCCTGCCTTCCAAGAGAGCAAGGCACTCGAGCTCAGTGGATCACACGGCGAAAAAGGACCCGGTAGTGCCTCGCCATGCGCGTGAAGATACTCATGTTCCGGTCAACGAGGATTTCCTCTTCGACGTGGATATCGAACAGAGGGAGTTGAAACCTGTATACTGGCTTGGTCACATATATGAAGGTCTGTCCCCACCCTTTATGCAAACTGCGGCCCTGCAATATGATTACTGAAAATTTCCAAGTGCGTCGAGGTACATGGTTTTTTCAAGAAGGCTCAAGTTTACGACCATGTGAGGAAAATCTCGCAGCCCAACTGGAGGAGGTGAGTGTTTGAACAAAGCATTTGGGACAAGCCACTGACCCGTGAAATAAGGGGTATTTGAAAATCAAGCCGTGGAGGAATCCAGGTACCATCAACTCCCCTAATCTCCAAACTATTGTCCTTAAAGGCATGAAGCTGATTGAAACCATCTAGTGCGTTCCCGCAGCCAGTCTGCGGCAAAACGCCTCTCTCCAAAATCTTCACAAGACGTTTTGAAATCGTCTGAGAAGGTTGCCACCTCATCCGTTGATGAGTCCCGTTCTCAACCCGGGCAGCAAGCACAACCCTCTTCCTCCAACCCCCAGCCAGAGTCATACCGTCTTTTTGGTCCATATATGAGCAGCATGGTGACTTTTGAGGATTCTACGACTGCATGGCTTGCTTCGGATACGATGCTCTCCTGGGTCACATCTTCTGTCTACGAAAGATTTGCTGGCGGTGGATACATGAGTGGTGTTAAGCTAGTCCGAGGTTACTCGGAACCTAGTAAGAAGCAAGACAAGGACAAGAATGAGAAGAAAGAGTATACAATCGCAGAAGGAATACCTGGCCTAGACGAACAACAGCAGAAGCTGATAAAACGTCGGTCTGCCCCTCCCGCAACTTCAGCATCAGATATCAGCCAGCTACACTCCCAACAACGACGCCAAGCTTCAACAACTAGGGCCGAGGACAGCAGCTCTAGGCTCCAGCGACAGCTGTCATCCCTTTTAGAGAATGAAGGTAAAAGCGCGGCTGAAAAGGAAGACAAATTGCAGCAGCAAGAGGAGCAAGATATGCAAGACTACCATACTCAAGCAGGCGAGTCGCAAAATCGTGAAGTTGAACACTTGATTCTTGTTACACATGGAATTGGACAACAGCTCGGCCTCCGGTACGTTCCAATCGCAAGCTTTAAGAAAATCAATCGTTTCCTAACGGGCTGACCAGGATGGAGAGTATCAACTTCGTCCATGATGTTAATGTCCTACGGCAAACAATCAAGACAGTGTACGCTGAATCAGCCGACTTGAAAGCGTTGAACTCTGAACTCGGCTCCGGTCCTGGTAATTGTCGAGTACAAGTTCTTCCTGTATGTTGGAGACACCTCCTTGACTTTCCAAAGGAACGCCAAAAACAAGGCGAGCATGACCTTGGGGATATGGATAACGACGATCAAAGATGTAAGCCGGATATGACCTTGCCTTGATGATGTCTACGGATCAAACTGACAATAGTCTCCCTAAGATCCTTCCCTTGAAGATATTACAGTGGAGGGCATGGCGTTTGCCCGATCACTTATATCTGATTTAGCGTTGGATGTCTTGCTTTATCAGAGCGCTTATCGATCACATATAACGAGCATAGTTCTTCAAGAATGCAATCGCATTTACCGGCTTTTCAGAGAGAGAAACCCAGAGTTCAGAGGGAAAGTCCATGTCATGGGTCACTCGTTAGGTTCTGCCATTCTTTTTGATATCCTCTGTCGCCAGAGGGAATCAAGGTCACTACACGAGAGAAAAAGCTCATTACGTGCCTGGCCGACGCAAGCTCGTACCGAATCACCTTCAAGCTCTAAAGAAACACATCAAGACATCTCATTCGATTTTGATGTTGAAGATTTTTATTGCTTGGGGTCGCCGATTGGATTGTTCCAGATGCTTGAGGGCCGGTAAGTTATCACCTCGGTTTGACCCTTCACCTATTTTCGGGAGCTCTCTGTGGCTAAGACGATGCACTGTAGGACCATTGCTGCCCGCAAATCGCCCGGTCTGAAGTCGGTTGGGAAGGCCTTCGGCTCACAGGTCCCTGACGCCTCATTCTTGGCTACTGCTCCCATGAGTGGTAGCAACACAGAGGAGATCTCGACCGTCACAAACCTTCCCGTGTCTGTTTCTTCACCCAAAGCCGAACAGATTTTCAATATTTTCCATCCGTCAGATCCCATTAGCTATCGACTTGAACCTCTTATCTCTCCCGCGATGGTAACATTAAAACCACAAGGCCTACCATATACCAAGAAAGGAATATTTGGAAATGTGGCTAACCAGAGCTTGACTGATATCGGGGCTAAAGTTGGGCAAAGTTTCAGCGGACTATGGTCTTCGCTCAGCGCTGGCATTGCCAATAATATGCTAAATCGTAGTCTCGGCCTCAGCAATGAGGAAGTGGCAAAACTGACAAATCAAGCACATCATGCTCAGCAACCGCAGCAGGGCAGTGAAGAGAACCCAATTGTGGTGGCTGATGACGCTGTGAGAAATGGTAAAGACGAGCGAAAGATGCAGCTTGCCCAAACTACGGCTTCTGGAGGCCGAGCCAGCGCCAGCGGTAATGACCCAACGCTTATCGACGATGAGCTAGAGACCCTTTACTCTCAATTCCAAAGGAGACACAGTGATATGTCAACAGCAGAGAAGTTGGATAAAGCCCAAGATGATCAGCGCAAGGCACGAAAATTACGAGCAGAAGAAAGCAAAATGAGAGCCCTCAATCGGAACGGAAGGGTTGACTACAGTATTCAAGAGTATGTTTCACCCACCACTCACATTCTACAGCTTAAGCAGAATATGGCACTAACTTGACCTGAAACCCTAGGAGTGTTTTGGATTTTAATCCTATTAACACGATAGCCTCTCATCTATCATACTGGGCAGATGTTGACGTGAGTCACTTCGTTCTGTCTCAGTTGCTTTCAAACCGTTCCAATAAGAAACCCAAGGCCCAAGACGCTTCATTGTAGTCCTAAATGAGAGGTTTGAGAGGACTCGCAACAAGTCGCTCTCCGTATAACCTGACCCTGATTATACTGTCTCACCGTGAAGGTATTCAGTACAGTAGCTATGCTTGTGCGTATGCAGGTATTTAACTAGCCACAACTTGAAAAAGAAGGGAGGGCCAGCTTTTGGCAAGGAGAAACCACTCAAGAAGTTAGATAAATATTGAGATCAATCGAAATTGTAGTGTCCCGGAAATCAAAGATGAAATTCTCGTCCTAAAGATGCTCATAAGGCCCGGTTCGGAGTGCTGGGCGGCTGAACTCTGCACGTGACGGCGCAAGCCACTTCGATAGAGCCATCATCATTCACGGCATCATAGCATCATCCCCCATCCTCCGCCCATCCCATTCACAAAGTCCAGACCATCCCTCTCCCAGAATTGTTCGCAGTGGTTTTTTATTGCTCGACAGGTTTAAGCATGTGTGGGCGATACGCTCAGGCCTTGGTAAGTCTGCCTTACCAGCACAGAGCATGCCTGTTAGCACGGTTGAATACTAACCATTAAAAGCGGCCCTCCCAGATCATGCAAATGTTCCGCGATGAGGGAATACCCGTTGAAGATGCCCCCGAAGATGAGGGCCCGGGAGCGCCGCGCCAGAGCTATAACTTCGCTCCAGGCTATCATGGAATTGTGTACAGGGCTGAAACAGGCGACCGAGGTGCCGGTCCCAGGCATGACGCGCCTGAATCAAACGAGACTGCCGGCGATGCTCTAGCTTCAGAATCCGCCCTGCCTATCAAATACAAACTTCAGTCTATGAAATGGGGCCTGGTTCCCTTTTGGACCAAGAGAGCTCCGGACTACAGCACCATTGTACGAACAATGAACTGCAGGGACGACTCTCTTAGCACCCCAGGCGGGATGTGGGCCACAATGAAGGAACGAAAACGGTGTATAGTCCTTGCTCAGGGCTTCTTCGAGTGGCTCAAGATAGGGAATAAAGACAAGCTACCTCATTACATTACTCGTGATGATGGCCAGCTCATGTGCTTCGCGGGTCTGTGGGATTGCTCGCAGTACGAAGGTGCGTATCACAAATCGCGTTTCCTCTATTCTGCCTCTCTTGGTAGATCAGTTAGCTCACCAAAAACTGTTTATAATCACTTCAGAATCAGACGAGAAGACATATACCTACACTATCATTACGACAGATTCTAACAAACAGATGAAGTTTATTCATGATCGAATGCCAGTGATTCTCGAGCCAGGCTCGGAAGACATGCGTACCTGGTTAGATCCTCACCTCTGGAAATGGTCTGGGTCTCTCCAATCTCTTCTGAAGCCATTCGATGGCAAACTGAAAATATACCCTGTGAGCAAAGATGTCGGGAAGATCAGCAATGACTCTCCAAGCTTCATCATACCCTTGGACAGTAAAGAAAACAAGTCAAATATTGCCAACTTCTTTGCCAGTAGTTCCAAATCACCAACTGCCGCTAAGACGTCCCGGCCTGTGACTTTGGGGCAGAGTGGCCAACGCAGAGATGCCGGTGAGGACAATTTTGAGAAGGCTGCCTCTGCAAAACGCAAGCTCCCAAACAACGCCACAACAAAAGTTCATGGTTCCAAAAAGTTAAAACCCTCTACCCACTCAAACCTGCTCCGAGAAAAGAAGGCTGTCGCAGAGAAAGGCAAGACAAGCATGAGGGAAACGCGCTCATCAAAAGCATCAAAAATCACACATTTTTTTAAACAGAAATAATTAGTACAATCATCAATGTTACTAGCACATCGCCTAATCATTTCGCTGGGTCAAAAAACAGTATTAAAACTTAAGAAGGTAAACCAAACCGGCCTACCACTAGGGCTTCATAAAGTCTTATTCCCCATAACCTTCAAGAAGCTCGGGTGTGGGGGATACGTTATCCCCAAGCATTCTAGAAGTAGATCTTCCCGCCAAGTCTCCGATGAAGGTGGCAGTGCTCTTCAGCACTCATGAAAGAGCCAGTCTCGTTCGTCTATAGTCGCAGATGCCCTACTTGTATGCGACTCCGGCAGCTGCACGCCTTATCACCTGCGTTCCATCACCAACGCTGAGCCGATCGTTGTCCCAGACGGCTCCCTGTGGCTCAGGGTCGTCTATTACGACCTCTAGCCTTCCCTCTTCCCCCACTTCTCTGATGCTTACAATAGTCATCCAAGTTTTGGCACTCCTGGAACCGCCACCTACATTGTGTAGCCCCTTTGGAGCTCTAGACCGCAGGGCGAGCGCCAGCATCTCCCCAAAACTTCCCCATCCGGAGCTTTGCCATGGTGTTGAGGAAAGCAATGTTGATCCATGATGCAGGAATACTATTAAGACATGGGCGAGCAGTAAAAGCATGGCCAATTTGGTGCTGGTTCCCCTGAAATCATAACCATAACGGTACGCGAGGTGGTCATGGTCGATGGCCATGTAATCCGGATTGGTTGCCTTGTTTTCTGCTGTCACATTATGTACCTCGTGCCACTCAATCATATCCACGGAGCGTGTCATTGCATCGAGAATGTAGAGCGCGAGAGGGGCAGTGGTCCAACGGTCGACAGGGAACGAAAACCCGGCGAGTTCGGCGTAGGCCTGATTTTGTACATTGGGGTCAATGATATCCGGTGAGCCGATACCGTTCAACCATTCAGCCTTCAACCTTGCAACATTTGAGGAATTTGAAGTCTGCCAAAGATATTCTCCAATCTCATCCAGCTTGACGCCTATGTCTATTTGAGTGCCCACACTCGCTTTCGATCTCCAGGCATCGCCATCCACCCATCGAGCTTGAATGAGGCAGATACTGGGATCGTCATCGCGTGGTTTCGTCCAACTTGGGCGCGAAAGATTTGCCGCCACCCTTGATAGAAAAACAGCACTGACAGGTACATTGAGGAACTGGTTGAGCTCGATAAAGCCGTTGACTGTCCTGTTCTTTCGTACATCTCCTTCGTGCTCTCGTAGAAAATCCAAATCTTTGGTCATCGTGTGGTTTAATGGGGTCCTTGACAGATGGCCGAAAGGTCTCCGTGGGGCTTGCAAGATATTGTCTGCAGATATCTCAAAAGAAGTGCACCAGGTTGCAACCAAGGGCTGTTTCCATTTCCTTCTAGCCTTGACAGTAATGCCAGTATCGCCACCAGCATCAGACAATCGGTCACTCTCGCCAGTTATAGAACGGGCCAGAAACTCCATGGGACCCAGCGCAACAGAGAATGTACTATTATCCCAAAAAGTGAGTGGCCGATGCTCAAGCTCGGTGCCGAAGGCTGTCGAGGTGATATTCTGTCCTGAGATACCATCGCGAGATTGGAGCCAGGCAGATCGGTACGCTTGGAGCAGCACACTCATATCTCGTTTATGGCAAGTTGGGTCCGCCGTAGAAACGCATGTACCTCTCGTTACTCTGGGAATATGTCTTGACGCCAACTCCATGGTGTCATATGAAGGTGATGCTAAGACATAGTCATAGCTGCTCAGGGTAGACTCTATGTATGGGATCTCCCGTAGTTCCCGTCGAGGAACCATGGCAATGGCGCATAATGGACCTGCACCACCGCTGATCAATAACAGTAGAATGATTGCAATAGAAATCTGTAGATGCGAACGACGGTTACGCATTGAATAAGACACAGCACTCACAAACTCCCAACTCAATAGATGAGGAATTGGCGAGGCCAGGTGATATGGAGAGCTGAGAAATCCAAGTGGTATCCCGTCCTCCACAAGCAAATTGTATCGGATTCGATGCAGAAGAATATCAGTCAAGGACACTATTACGAGGGTTTCGTGTATCCGAGCGGCAAACTGCAGAGCACTGAGGCCTTCAGAAGAAGGCAGCGACGACGGCCATAATTGGGTCTTGAAGTGTAGGACAAGTAGGGTTGCTGTGACAGCCACAGCAGGTAGGTGGAAGAAGATTAGATTTTGCAGCACGGAGAAACGTTTTGTGCTAATGACAATTTTCTCTCCCTCGTGATGCAAGCGCTTCCACTTCTTGTGTGCCAATTCTACACCCAGAAGCCATCGAAGAAACTCGACGAGATCTGACCCAAAGCTGGCTTTCTTTTCAAGTGAAAGACAGTCCTGGATTTTTGCACTCCTGGCGATCGCAGCCTTTTCCTTCTCAATCATCATATCTTCTTCGTGAGTCTCGAGGTGGAGTTGAGAATAGTCCGTAGGCGTCGAGGGCGGTGGTAGAGTCGATGCGGTCCTGAGACTGGCGGGTTTTTCTTCCTCATCCTGCAAGGAGAGGTAGTCTCGACGGGGTGAGAAGCCAGGTGGGTGTACTTGCTCGGTGTTCTAGAATCCAGCGGAGGAAATGGTCAGCTACTCAGTCTCCTAGAAGGAAAGCAAGGAATGTTATACGTCGTCCATGGCCCAGACGTGTTGAGATTCGGCGACACCGCCGTTGTCGTTTTCTTGGAGGACCATCGCAATATCAGTGGACAGACAACTGTAAGGCAGAGAAAGATGAAGATAATCAAGCTCTCTGCTTCAAATAATACTTTATAGGATTGCGATTTTGGTTTTGCTTATCCAAAACCTTTGCTAGGAATACACTGGTGGCTTGGCTACGCCATGGCCCAAGCCACTGTTTCAGCTATACGAGCTATTTAGAATCAAATTTGCGATCTGCACATGGTGGCTGTATAACGATGATGTGACCACTTGTGTGGATGAGAGGATGGAAAGTAGCGAGATTATAGTACTGCTATAATTTATATAAAGAATATAAGGCATTTTCCTCCTCCTAATATCTTATTAGTAATATAAAGAACTAGTAGTATAATAAGTTAGCTTCTATAATTAAGAAGAAAAGAAAAATAAATTTTATAAAAGTAAAAGAATAATATTTATATAAAAATATATAAATTTATTATTAACTTTAAACCTTTTTTTTATTAATTAAATATAATATATCTTAAAATAAATTATATTAATAATTATAAATTATAATAAATATATATAATAATTACTATATAATATAATAATAAGTAAAAGAGCTATATAATTATATAATAATTATTAAAAAAAAAAGGAAATTCCTAAATATTAAGAATTAAATAACTTAATATTATATTTAATATTATAATATATTAACCTTTAGCCTTTTTACTTAATTATAAAGCTTATACTTAGCTATATATAAAGTTTAATATTAATAATAGCTTATACTTTAAATAAAAAAACTAAAGTTTAATATATTATAATATTAAGTATAATATTAAGTTATTTAATTCTTAATATTTAGAAATTTCCCTTTTTTTTTAGTAGCTATTATATAATTATATAGCTCTTTTACTTATTATTATTAATATTAATAAATATTTAAAATACTAAAGTATAAGTTATTAAAAATATTAATATTTATTATTAAAAATAAATAACTATATATAATAGTAGGTTAACTTATACTAAATAGGGTCTTAAGGTAGGTTAAGGTTAAACTAATTAGGGTATTATTTTAAGTAGTATAATTAAGTTATTTAGATATTATATAAGTTATTATTAATATATAAGTATTAAGGAGCTAGTTTTAATAAAAGTAGTAGTAATAGTATTAATAACTATTTAAGAGAGTATTTCTATTTAAGAAATAAGTATATATATATACTAGGTAGCTTATATAAGCTTACTAATAATCTAAAGTAAGTTTATCTCTAAATTATAAAGGCTTATTAATAATCTAGAGTAATTTACTCTTAATTAGCTAGGAGAAGGAGGAAAAGTAAAGTATAATATATAACCCTTTATAGTATATATTAATTTATAATATAATACCTCCTCTTTATTAGTTTTATCCTTAAGATTAATTCTTATAGCCTAGCACCTTAATATATTCCTTTATCCTATAATTATTTATATATTTTTATTAATTATATTATAGTCTTTATTTAAGAAATTATAATAGTATAAATACCTTACTTCCTTAATAAAAGAAATAGATATTAAAGTTATACCTTATTTAAATTATTTTAAGTATAAGAAAGTATATTATATAATTAAAGCTTTTTCTTATTATAGTAAATATATAAAAATTAGTTATTTTTATAATAGTATTAAAGTAGTATCCTAATATAAGTATCTTATCCTTAAGTAGACCTAGTTAAGTAGTTTATTAACTCCTTTTAATAGTAAAGTATTTAGTTACTAAAGAGTAATAATTAGAGAATAAGCTAGCCTCCTTAGAGGTTATATTCTAAAAGGTGCTTATAAAGGTCTTATACTTTTATTACTAATATTAAGTTACTTATAAGAAATCTTAATAGCTATTTTATTATAGGGTATAAAATTTAGATAAATATAATAGTATTTATTCCTAAGAGGAAGTAATTCTTAAAGAGTAGTAAGCTATAAGTATAATATAATCCCTAAGGGCTATAGGTATTATTAACTAGATCTCTATTTTACTTAAGTTCTTTAATCCTTCTTTCCTTTTTAATCCTATTAATAGAATTATTAAACTAAATATTAATAATTCTTTAAATATTTAATAGGTTCTTAAGTATTATCCTTTTTATTATAGTTTTTCTATTTTATTAAATAAAATATTTACTTATTCCTAATTTCTCTTTTTAGGATTTTTTCTAACTTAAATTCTTCTTTATAGACTTTAATTAAATAGTCTTAATTTAATATATTTTCTAGTACTTTCTTAAGTAATAAGATATAAAAAATTAAGTAAATATATATTATATTTAGTAATAATAGTTTATAATTAGTATTTAATTTTTTCTTTAAAATTTTAAATAATTTAAGTTTCTTATAGTTTAATTTATTACTTAGCTTTATTATTATAATATTTTTTTAAAGTAAGTAAACCTTATCTCCCTCCTTTAAGATTAATCCTCTTAATTTTATCTTATTATAATATTTCTTTATTCTTTATTATATAAATTTTAGTTTAGCTTATATTTCTATATATAATAAGTATAATATTTCTTTTATAAATATAATAATAAGTACTATTAGTTTATTAAATTCTAATTTACTTAAGAACTTTAGTTTATAACTATAATTTATATATATTAATAATAATTAGGTTAATTCTTATATTATATTATTATATATAATCTATATTATAAATAATAATTATACTTAATTATTCTATTTATAATTAATATATACTTATAGATATTATTTTAATATTTAGTTTAAATATTTTATTTATTTATTACTTTATAAGTAATAAGTAATTAAAAGCTTATACTTTATATCTATTTATACTATAAGTAATTATTAGAAATTAAAAGTAAATATTATTCTTCTATTTAATATTATCTTATTTAATAATCTATAATTTATAATTATATATTATAGAACTTAGTATATAAAGTCTTTTATACTATTTACTTCTTTATATAGTATAAAATACTTATACTTTATAAGTCTATTTATAATTACTAAGATATTATTATATTTTACTTTAATTATAGGTTTTTTAAATAATAATAATTTAATAATATAATTAAAGGATATTAATTACTATAATTATTCTAATACTAAGATTAATTTAAGTTCTTTATATAGTTTATATTATACTAATTTAATTTATATATAAGTATTATACTTTAAAACTATAGTTTATACTTCTTTTTATAAGCTAAGGTAATTATAATATTATTTAATCCTATTAAAGGTTTTCTTAATTCCTTAGTATTCTATAAGTAAGTACTTATAAATTTCTTTAATAAGTATTATTCTTAATTCTTACTATAGTTTCTCTAAATTTAAGATAATATTTATTTAAACCTTAGTATATACTATTTCCTTAAATATAACTCCTAAGGTTTTTTATATTAAATATTTATTATTATTAATTAAAAATAATTATCTATTTATCTTTAGAATTATTTATTTATACTTAAGTTTCTAGTTAAGAGTATTAGCTCTTTTATTCTTTAATCCCTTCTAATATATAATCTTATAATTAAATTTTAATAAATATTTAATATAATATATTTATCTTTTATTAAGTTATTATATTATAGTAAAATACTAAATATTCTTATAATTTATATAGACTTTTACCTTATATTATATTCTTAAATAATAATATTTAAATTCTTTAAATATATATATAATAACTATAAACTCCTTATTATAAATAGAGTAATTAAGTTCTACTTTATATAGTTTCTTTAAGAAGAATATTATAAGGTATAATACTTTATTATTATCTTTTTAATTAAATTATATACTAATTATAAAATCTAATATATTAATTTTAAGTTCTACTTCCTTTATAAGATTAAATATTTATAATATAGGTTTTAAAAGAATTTAATTTTTTATTTTATTAAATACTTCTTATTATTTTATATCTTATTTAAATTCTATTTCTTTCTTTATAATATTATATAAAAATATAATAATCTTCTTATAATCTTTAATAAATTATTAATAATAATTAATAAATTTAAGGAAAGCTTATACTTCCTTAATAATATTTAATACTTCTTAATCTTTAATTATAATAATCTTACCTTTCTCTATTTAGATTTTATTTAGTTAAATAGTATATCCTAAGAAGTTAACTTCTTATATATAGAAATAGCTTTTCTTTAATTCTACTAAAAGTTTTATCTCTTTTAGTTTCCTTAAGACCTTATATATATATTCTTTATAAGTCTTTAAGTTATTAGAAAATATTAAAATATTATTAAGATAAATAACTATAAAGATATTAAAGTACTCCCTAAGTATTTAATTAATTATTTACTAAAATATTATAAATATATTTATTAATCTAAAGGGTATTATAAAATACTTATATAAATTAAACTTTATCTTAAAAGCTATTTTCTATTTATCCCCCTTTTTAACTTATATTAAATTATAAGCTCCTTTAAGGTTTAATATAATAAATTATTATTTATCTTATAATTAATCTTTAAGTTCTATAATTAATAATAAAGATATCCTATCTTTATATATAATCTTATTAAGTTATTAGTAATTTATAATAAATTATAATTTCTTATTCTTCTTTAATATAAATATTATAAGGTATCCTATAAATAAAGTTAATAATTATATATAGCTTTTTACTAATATATTATTAATATATTTATAAAGTATTTATAATTATAATTCTATAAGGTTATATAGTTTATAAAAAGCTAATTCTCTTTTATTAATAATAGAGATTTTATAATCTTATTAACTATATTTTAATAACTTAATATTAAGAGTCTCTTTAAATAACTTTTTATAAATATAATACTCTTAAGATATATAATCTATTTATTTATCTCTTAATATTACTTTTATTACCTATTTATTATAAGTTTTCTAATCCTATAGATAATTTCTTATATTATACTTTTTTTTCTAAGAGTTAATTATTTATACCTAATTTATAAAGTCTATTTTATTATATCTTCTATTAATATTTATAAAGATTACTTCTTCTTATTATTACTTCTTTT